CGATAATCACGACCTAACTCCATTGTTGTCGCAAACCATAAAGCTCAAAATCAGTTGAAGCAGACGATAATCACGACCTAACTCCATTGTTGTCGCAAACCATAAAGCTCAAAATCATGGTTGTAGGCGAAATCAGTTTTAAGGAGAAAAGTTGGGGGTTCAATTCATTCAAGCTTAAACCCGAGCCCTATGGAAGCCACACGAACGAAGCATGGGAAGATATCGAACTTTCCTTGTCTATGTCTACCATGCTCCAACACAGTTACCTCCCTCCCTCCATAGACAGAGACAGAGGTTATCTCCCTCCCTCCATAGACAGAGACAGAGGTTATCTCCCTCCCTCCAAGACAGAGACAGAGGTTATCTCCCTCCCTCCATAGACAGAGACAGAGGTTATCTCCCTCCCTCCATAGACAGAGACAGGGGTTATCTCCCTCCCTCCAAAAACCCGGCTACATTTTGGGATCAACTGAAACAGAGGTTCAACATCTTATGAAAAGTAATGGAAACAATAAAATCAAGGGATGTTCTTGGTTTTATGATTATAACATCTTACTTCATCACCTTCTTTTCTGCAGTTTCACGTTCATAGCATTCACCAACTTCTCAGTCTTTGCCTCAACCATCATTCCCTTCAGTGTCATCTCCCTATAATAACGCAACCCCTCTTCTTTTCTTCCCTTCTCGTACAAACCGTGTATCATAATCGTGTAAGACCGACGGTCCGGTCCCAACCCCATCTCTTCCATTTCATTCCAAGTACACTTAACCCTTTCCTCAATATCCCACTCCATGTACAATCGCAATATCAGATTGTAAGTGTCACTGCTCATCTTGCATCCACTCCTCTCCATCCTTTCCACGAGGATCGGAACTTCCTCCGGTTCCCTTACCGACGCAAGTAAGTAGCTAAACGTCACAGAATTCGGCCAACAACTTCTATTTCTCTCCTCCATTTCATCTAAAAGCTCATTAACCTTCTCCATCCTCCTAATCTTACAGAGGTGTTTGATGAGAGTGTTGTAAGTTGCTACATTTGAGGCACACCCTCTCTCGTTCATTTCCTTGAAGATCTCTAGAGCTTCAGCAATCCTCTTCTTGAAACAAAGTGCATCAATGATGCAATTGCAGATTACAACATCGGGTTTTAAGCCCTTCTCCCACATGGCTCTATACAACTTCAAAGCCGTCCCTAACTTTCCCTTCTTTGTCAATGAGTTTATCAAAGTCCCATAAGTGTATATATCAGGCTCCCACTTCGATTCAATTATCTCCCTCCAAAACCTCTTGGCTTCATGAACATTTCCCAACACACACCACCCATTAAGAACAATATTACTCGTCTTAATATCAGGAAAAAACTCATGCTTCTTGGAGTGGAACAGGGTCTCTGCAACTTCTACATGTTTGTATCTACATAACCACATCAAAAGTGACTGAAACGCTATCAAATTCATCTCAAGACCAAGTTCTTGCCTTCTGTGGAAGATGTCAATTGCTTCCTCCACCTTATGAGCTGCAGCATATCTATTAAGAAGAACTAAATATGTTTCCTCATTAACAAGTTTTTTTCTCTTAGACATTTCTACAAACACCTTGTCTACTTCATCGAAGCGTCTGGATTTCCCAAGAATATCAAGAATCTCATTGTAAATAACAGAACCAGGGGAGTACTCACCTTCTCCATTACCTCTTTTCGTAACCCAATTGAAGAAATCGAAGGCGGGTTTCCAATCCGATCGATGCCTTCGCAACACTTGTAGAACAAAATCATCGGTTAAGACGAGGCTGCATCGATTAAGAGCCGTCTCGATCTCCTCCACTGGTTTGTGTCTTCTAAATTTGAGGACGTTTTGGACATAAACAGCAGATTGGCCATAAACGTTGATGGAATCATCTGAGACAGCAACTGGGTTTGAAACTTTAGTCGTTTCATGACAGTTTGTAGTCGTTCCGTAGGTTTGGGTAGGATGAATATGATCGGAGAAGCCGAAGAAGGGCCTGTATGAAATGGGAGTGTGAGGAAGAACACCTTTTATGAGGTATGCTTGGAACCCTAATTTGAATTTTGCGTGGATATCTTCCGCCGCATTGTTCCTCAACCATAGGAATTTGAACCTCATATCGAGCCCTTCGATCACAAATGGGAAATGGGGTTCTTTCATGACGGAAGTCTAGATTATAGATTATAAAATTACTTCTTAATTTTGTTAATTGGTCTAATCAAACATCCATGTTTCAAAATTGTAACACCTTTTTCAACCTCGACCCTTTCAAAATTATTGGAGACAAAATTATATCATGATCTTTAACAACATGAACGTGGCCACGATGACTAGAATACTCGCAACTTTAGTTCAATATCTTTTACTCCAATAGTAATTTTAAATTTATGATATGCCGATGGTAATATCTTAATTTTTAAGAGAATAGTAGTATTTTTTTTTATTATAATTTAGGCCTTAGAAAAATAAAATGTACCAAATTTAATGCAAGTATGTCTCTCTTACTATCCCTCTTAATGCATATACTCTACAATTTTTGTGGAGGAACCGAGTTGATTGAGTTTTCTACAAAAATATATGAAAATGTAAAGAAATCGAAAAACTAAATAGGGAGGAGACACATGTCATGCAGCGAGTGCCTTACACACGTGTTATTAGTCTTGGGATTCTGACTGCGAAGGAGACCCGCGTCATGTAGCAATTGGCGGAGCGCGACTCAATGTTCGACACGTAGCATGCTTCAGGTGGTGCAATGTGGCTAAATATGGTGGTGACCATCACTCAAATTCGACCCACACTTGAGAATCGTCCCACGGTCTAATCCAAACCTATGCCATCGACCTAAATCGCACAAATTGATTCAACTTGAGAAACGAGACCCATGAGTATACCCCACCGTGCACGTAAGGGACCTTCCACACATGTAAGTCCTTTTGATTCACTTAACCTCCGTTCGACTATATTTCACCCATATTTTGATATTGGCCTTAATTTTACGTGATCGATGACCTATCAATGAATTTTCAAAAAAAATTTTGCCTCAAAAAAAAAATAAAAATAAAAAAGCTTGAGCATGTTAGCTTAGGTGGATAGAATATGCATGTATAGGACTACAAAAAGGACAATTTTGGATAAGAATGCATGGTAAGTACAATATAAAAAATTATCAAATTGCCCCCTCGAATGAGATTTGAGATTAATATAGTTTTAGATGATTTCTGTTGTGCTAGAAAGAAAGGCTATTTTGATATGTGCTTGAGGATAATGATGAATGTTATCTCCCGGTTGAATTTGTTTGTTTGTTTGTTTGATTACATGAATGCTTAGTTTATCTTTTAGTTATTTTTTATTGATAGGATCTCTCCCTAATAAACTTGCAGAGCGTGTACTAATGTAAACTCTACTCTAGGGGATTAATAGGATAATCTTCCTAACAAAACATGCACAAGAGAATCAAGTTGAGACTATGGCACAAGAGCTGAAGTGGTTTCGAGCCAACCCAAGTCAGAACATTTTTAGTACACCCAGCACCATAGAATCGTGAACGGAGTCAAAAGTTTGACCTACGTGTACCCAGAGTATGTATAAGCCAAGGAATTAGCCCTAAATGTCTTATAAACAATAGTTGAGAACCAAACCGTCTAGACACCCTAGAAACCTAGTAAATCTCCACGACACCTAAGAAAAAGTTACAAGGACATATGACACCTCTAGAGTGTGAACGAATCATTGTAACGAGTCACTATTGTGTGTAGAATAAACCCACCTTAAGAGGGAACAAGGAACTACGTAAACAATTGACTAGCAGAGTCGTTATTGTGTGTCGGAAATAACCTGACCAATGATATATTAATGTATTATAATATATTTGTCTTGCCATATTAAAATTAAGGACATATTTTTTAACACCCTGAATTTGAGAATGCTGTTAAATCCTTTGAACACAAAAGTCATAAAAATAGCAAATTTGTCTGGATGCTCTCTAAAATTCAAACTTGGAGGGGTTGTAGCTGTTATTTGTTGTGTTCTTGTCATGTTTTTTCTAATGTCGGATCCCATGTTCCTTTGTTTTTCCGAAAGCTCCAATGGTTTCTTCTATTTTATGTGTTATTATGTTCTTGGCGTTTCAAATATTCACCGATGCAAGACCCTAAGCGTCCATTCATGAGTTGCATTGGAGTTGTCAAAAACAAGAAAAAGTTGATGAATTTCTTGCCATGCTTCATATCAGAGGAGAGATTCAATAGGAAATGTTTGGAAAAGAGCATCAAGGAGTATTATGAGACTAAAACTTTAGCCTCACTTGCTATCATTTCCCTCAAGTCTGGTACCTTCTCTCCCCCTTCTTACCACTTCATTCGTGTTCGGGTTTGAATTTCCTTACTCGAAAATTGTATTTGAACATATTCAAATGTTATCTCGTAATGTCCTTCTCATTCAAATTTGGAATTTGTTTAAACGAAGGGAAAGATTTATGGTGTATAACTAATGTTTGTTTGAACCCTTATGTTTAAAGTAATCATTGTTCCGAATAATTGTTAATTGATAACAGATTCATGCCTCAAACTTTGGTTATTTCAATAGAATCCTAAAGTTTATGAATCTTTAAAGGCAAAGTTGTCACAAAGAATTATGGATAAAAATCCTTAAATGCCAAACGAGTATGGAGTACGAGTCGTGATGAGGTTCTATCGAATGTGCTGTCCTCCAAAAAGAAAAGCTAGTATAGACTGTCGCAAAAAAAAAAAAGTAAAATTTTCACCACAGGTGGGACCTACCTTTAAATTTAAAGGCACAAGTACCAGAATTACTCCCAAGAGATTAATCCAACAAGGCAGATGAGCTATATTAGCACGTGCTATAGACGTAAGAGGAAAAGAAAAGATCCTAGAAAACGTACCAATAGTAAATGAGTTCCCGGATGTATTTCCAAAGAGATGTCAAGGATAACTAATATGCACCTAGACGCCTTAAAAAATAGTAAACAGAAGTTTGCTTTAAAGAATAGAAGCTAACCCAGATAGGTAAATGACTCATTTAAGAGGAGACAATAATACGTTATTCAAGCGGAGGATTGTTAAGAATGCAATCGAAGGACCCATAGTGACAAAAATCTCGACGATATAAGATTTTTTTTTTAGGTAAACTCATAAGCAATGTTCATAATGTTTTGTGGTAAACTTGTAGAGAACAATAAGCGAAGGTACACAACAAAGGAGACAAAGAAGAAAGGCAAAGAGAAAAGCAAAGCGAAAAGCTTCGTACAAACTTTCACATTTCGTCAGCTATGCGTGGCCACAAATAACTTCAGCCACCACAATCTCTTAGGGGAAGGTGGCTTTGGAAGAGTTTACAAAGGCCTCATTGACACCACAAGACAAGTACCCATCAATCCTTACTTTCCTTTGCAAATTCTATTAATTCATGAGTGTTCTATTGATTATTCCTCTTCCTTAGGTGGCTGTGAAGCAACTTGATCCAAATGGGTATCAAGGCAATAGAGAATTCCTTGTGGAGGTTCTAATGCTAAGCCTTCTTCGCCATCCCAACCTTGTCAATTTGGTTGGGTATTGCGTTGATGCATATCAAAGGATTTTGGTGTACGAGTACATGCCTAAGGGTTCCTTGGAGGATCATCTTCTTGGTATAGCTTCAGATAAGGGAGCTCTAGATTGGAAGACAAGGATGAAAATTGTGGAAGGAGTAGCTAAAGGGCTTGAATATTTACATGAAACGAATCCTCCCGTGATATTTCGAGACTTCAAAGCTTCGAATATATTGCTCGATGAGGAATTCAATCCAAAACTCTCGGATTTTGGACTTGCAAAGCTAGGTCCCATGGGTGATAAATCTCATGTTTCCACTCGAGTGATGGGAACCTATGGCTATTGTGCTCCTGAATATGCACTTACTGGACAATTGACTACCAAATCTGATGTCTATAGCTTTGGTGTCGTGTTCTTGGAGATCATCTCTGGGAGAAGAGTTATTGACAACACGAAACCAAGAGCGGAAAAGAATTTGCTTGCATGGGTTTGTTTTCTTTTTCTATTCACTGCATTCATTTTATCTAAACTGGTTGGGAGGGAGTCCCACGTTGGCTAATTTAGGGAATGATCATGGATTTATAAGGAAGGAATATATCTCCATTGGTATGAGGCCTTTTGGGGAAGCCCAAAGCAAATCCATGAGAGTTAATGCTCAAAGTGGAGAATATCATACCAGTTAGCCTCGAAGGTATAGTCAAAAGTGACTCATGTGTCGAACAAAGGATGTACTTTGTTCGAGGGCTCCAAAGAAAGGAGTCGAGTCTTGATTAAGGGGGAGGACCTTCGAGGACGGACTATATAGACCTCAAGGGAAACTCTATGGTGTACTTTGTTCGAGGGGAGGATTGACTCATGTGTCGAACAAAGGATGTACTTTGTTCGAGGGCTCCAAAGAAAAGAGTCGAGTCTTGATTAAGGGGGAGGACCTTCGAGGACGGACTATATAGACCTCAAGGGAAACTCTATGGTATACTTTGTTCGAGGGGAGGATTGTTGAGGATTGTTTGAAGGGAGTCCCACATAGACTAATTTAGGAAACGATCATAGATTTATAAGAAAAGAATACACGTGCATTGATATGAGGGCTTATGCTCAAAGTAGACAATATCATACCATTGTGGAGAGTCGTTCCTAACAATTCCTAAGCTCGATTATTACTTGATTACAGGCACAACCACTCCTCAAAGATAAAAGGAAATTTATTCTAGTAGCGGATCCAAATCTAAATGGAAAATTTTCAGTGAAGGCTTTGTATCAAGCTTTGGCGGTGGTGTCTATGTGTTTACAAGAAGATGCAAGTTCTCGGCCATTGATTAGCGATGTGGTCATGGCTCTACAATATTTAGCTATAAACAATGATGTCGATGTCGATGTCGATGTAGACAACGAATCGAATTCGGGGTCGAGATGGGGATTAAGTTCAAATGGAGGCTCAACTACTCCTAATAGAAGTAGTTTTAACGATGATAAAAGGAGTGTTGATGTTGTAGGTGATGGGAGGTGATTTTTAAAATGAGGAAACAAGAACACAAGGCATGGCCCTTTTCCTTTTTCCTTCATTGTTTTTTATAATATCATGGCCCAATGTTTTAGGCTTCAAAACCCGTACGACGACCCAGATGTAAAAATATTGTAAATTTAAATGAAAACAAAGACAAAAAAAAAACATTTGATATCCTTATGTTATCTACTCATGTAGTCTCTTGTCCCCTCTCTTCTACATGCAATAGTAGTATCTCCCGTTATCTACTTATGTAGTCTCTCATCCACTCTCAAGATGGTTTTGTTCTATACATGGTAGCAGTTCCTTTTGTTATCTACTTATGTAGTCTGTCGTCCCTCTCAAAGCGGGCTTGTTCTACACATAGTAGTAGTTCCTCTTATTATCTAGTTATGTAGTTTCTCGTCCCTTTTCAAGGTGAGCCGCTCCTCTTGTCGCCTACTCATGTAGTCCATCGTCCTCTCTCAAGGCAGGTTTATGGGTTGTGACCCATTTCTACGCATAATAGTGGTTACTCATGTTCTCTATTTATGTACTCTCGTGTCTCCTCTTAAGGTGGGTTTACATCAACACATAGTAGCAATTTCTCATGTTGCCCACTCATATACTCCCTCGTCCCCTCTCAAGACGGGTTTAAGGACTTTGACCCCTTTCCACATATAGTAACGATTCCTTAAATTAATACCGTTCATGTTGCTAGCAGTCTCGTAAGTTCTCTTAAAATTTCTTGAGCATCATAGAGGTTTACTAGGTTGTTAGGGCATTTAAATGGCTTAAATCTCTTTTAATATTTCCAGGACATTTGGAGTTCGCTTCTCAAGGCTAAATCCACTTTTGGATGCACTCGAGTCTAGGCCCCTGATAGCCGCTCACGATCCTAGTATGCCGGTCTACTAAAAACGTTCTAACCTAGGTCAACGTGAATATCGTTCTAGCTCTAATTCTCTAACCTTAACTTGGTTCATGCCTGCTTAGCCATGAAAATCATGACCTAAAAGTACAAGCAAGTTCAACATGGAGATAACATATATCAATCACTAAGAATACACATTACAATATCTCACCCTCCTTTCTAAAGCGTTAAAATAGATATGCAACTCAATTTCTCATTCAAATTACTCCTTCTAAGTCCTAAGCATGCATATTCTAACCACCTAAGGCAAGATGACTTCCTCCAAGATGACCCTCGGTAACTGTTTTCTAATTTTTAACCATTTTTAACTATTTTATATTACTTTTTTCCAACTACGATCCTTCCTTTATTGATCGGATCTATGCAACCGAGAAGAAATCAATGGGTATTCTGAAAAATGACTGATTATTGATACTATGTGAAGGGAAAGTTCCTGCAGTAATTTTGAAATCACAACTTAATATGAAATTGTATGAAATCCAAAACCTAACTAAATGTCTATGATTAGATTATGTTATTATGTTATTATGTATATCCCTATTGAAGATATAATTAATACAATATATGTTTAATTATTATATGTTTGGAATTTATGTCCTTAACTATTATAATTAATTATTTATTTTTTAATAATAATTTTGACTATTCTATCCTAATAATAATCTTGGGTATTTTATTCTTATAATGCTGGGGTATTTTATCTTAATAACACGGTTGATACGGCCTACTTTTGTTACAAATGATTAGATCCAAATCGTTCATGTGAAGATATGTGAGTTGGAGACATACCCAATAGAGAGTTGAAAGAAACGAACGATTCAATTGTAATTACGAACAACTCGTGAATCATCAACTTGCTTCTAATGATTATATCAACAAACACAACTTGTTCTATAATGTAAAGAGTGCAACTCTAGGTCTATAGTGGAGTGACCCATAGTTAATGAATGAAAATTAATTGGTCAAAAGTTTAATTAATTAATTTTGAACAATTGGAGCTTATAATTGGTAGATCCGTACCATCCCTTGAGTAAATATAATAGTTGATGAAAGATTCTACAAAGATTATAAATAGGTGAGTAAAAAAAAGAAAAACTTACTTTTCACCTTATTAGAGTTTTTTATGTGTGACTTGTGGGTGCGGTCAGTGGATCTCTAATCAGTGGATCTCTAATCACTCCCTAGTCATGATCTTGAGAGCAAGAGACTACATAGGCATATGACCATTAGCAGGCATGAGGATTGCTCCCTCCTTTATGATTTTTACGTTATGGGGGCCTACCAGGGAGCTAACAACTAAATCCTGCTAGAAAATCTAATAATAATGTCCAACTATGGGTTGGAACCTTTGAGAAGGTTGTGCCTTAAATACCTATGATATGTAGGTTGATGATTACGATAGGGACTAGTTTACTAATCAAGATGCCTTAAAACTCAAAGATAGAACCGATGAGATGGTAAGCTTAGATGAGTTGAACTCCAAAAATTAATAGCCCGTTAAGCAAAGAGATTTGATGGCTTCCACAACATTACCCTAAGTTGAGGTAGGATAAACCAAGTTAGCCTAGGGGATAGCTTAGAAGAGCCTATGACTTAGGGATGAGATAAGAAACCCAAACGATCGCGTGACCGAGTGAGATAATATTTAAGAACAAACTAAGAATCTACAAACAAGCTACTTACAAAGTATTTTTATACTTGTACATGTTATTTTATCCTTTTCAGATGAAGGTTGTGCGGCATAGTTGAGGTGAGGGCATGCAAAGGTGCAGGGCGGTGAGGGTCGAGATAGATCCGTGTCTTGCCTTTTTTAGATTTTATGTTTTCTATGAACTTAGTTGTTTTAGCATTTGCTCATTTTGTCATTGTGGTTTTGTAAACTGTGTCCCCGACATGTTTGGAACGATTTGATGTACTATTTAAGCTATTCCAAATTAAATGTCTGCACTATTTAAATGTTTTAAATTTTTCTAGCTTTTAAATAATTTACGTCAATTAGTGATGGTGCATGACTTGAGCCTCTCGAAAAGTGAGTTGTTACAAGTTGGGAGCGAATGAAGGCGCGTGAAGATGCATGAAGTATAGTTGTTTTCTCCCATTTGACCTCCATTTATCCGTTTTTCAATTTGATTTCAACAGTATTGATGTTTTCTCCTACTTTAGGGTTGACTTGCTAAATTCAAAGGACATTGAATGAAGTTCGGGGCTAAATTTGTACAAAAATGAATGCCGACGACACGTGTAAGTAGCATTTCAGTTCAACCCATTTAATTTCTGTTTAAAGGATAAACATACTATAAGTTGTTATTAGACAATGTCTAATATTTACACGAGATTGATTTAAGCGATTAAGTTAAGACTAATTGAATATGTCAAATGTAAGAAGGTATTTTATGAGTTAATTGGGCCACAAGAAGTAGTGCAATATTTTTATACAAAATTTGCTTGTAAAGCCAACTAAATAACACGGTAGTAAATCGTGCATACAATAGGGTATTATTGTGCTATATTTTGTCTCGGGTATGTCTTATATTTGTATGATTGCTTTCATAAGTGATGGAGTCAAGTTTCATCCTGTAAGACATATGTGCACTTAATAGTGCCTTACGTGTACTATGAGGATGTAAATATGGATCTCGAACTACTTATTAATCATGATATTATTAGAGTAGGACAAGGACCACATAGCATTGACAGATGTGTGACAAATGTGAGGGACACTCCCTCGTGTGCCATCTTCGTATTGTGAGATTCTTAGGGTTAGTCCGCCTATCCTAGTAGTTTATTTGCTATAGAGGACGGACGAATTCCATGATGTGTAGTACTTATAACACAGACATTCAAACTATCCGTAAGTTTAGCAACATCTCAGTCTTGTTAACGAGTCTTAAGAGATTAGCAATATAGTAGGACCCTTGTCAGGGTTAGACATTGAACCGTTTGAAGTTTGTAAAACCCAAACATAGGTCTAAGTAAGCCTAAGACCTAGTTTATTGCAATTGGAAATGGTTGAAACTTAAACGGTTAAAGATATGCTTATTTGTGAACCCACAGACACACTATTTACTGAATATTTTAATACTCATTCATGTTACGATTATGTTTTAGATAGCATATGAGCTGCATGACCAAGGCGACAGACAAGAGAGAGTTGTAAGGCCTTGGTGTGTTGCTGTTGTAAAATGTTGTCCCGGACATTTTTTTTTTAACTTTTTATTGTATATTCTATGAATTTGTTTTAAGAAATGCACGTTTTTACTTTACCAACTTATGCATACTATTTAGAATTTTTTTGTCAATAGTGACCGTCTACAACTCAACGAGCTCAAAATACCGAGTCGTTGCAAAATTCTTAGATGTCAACATTTTTACCCAAAAAAAAAAAAGGAGAAAAAAAAAAACTAGGCATATTCCCAAAAATGTTATCGTAAAAACTGTCCCTTGAAATGGAATCAGGTGGAAAGAAGAGAAGGAGAAGGATAAAACGGAGAGGACATCAGAAGTCGCGTAGGTGTCGTTTGGTTGTTCTTCCGATTTTTGAATTTCAGCTTCCTTTTCTCTAAGACTCGCCACGAACCTCCTCCTTGAATTTATTCTCCTTCTTTTCCCTTTGCTAATCGGATGAAAAGGTACTCTAAATTCCGAATCTAAAATTCTAATATCCGCTCCCCTTTTCGCTCATCATCACCCCCTTTTGATTCTTTTCTTTCCATTTTATTTCTCTACTTCGATTCATTACGTTATTGATTCATTCAGCATATCTCCCATTACCCAGGGTGCGAAACTAGCTCACAGGGTCAAATTTTGCGCTATTTGAATCCGAGGTTTATAACTCTCATTGGCTGATTCATTCATTCACTCATTTCGTATCCATGTCGCTCCGTAGACGGACTTTGCTTAAGGTTATCGTTCTCGGTGATAGCGGGTATGTGCAATCATCACCTATGGTTCCTCTGCTGCTTACTTGTTTTATTTTGGATTTCGATTTGAATGGTGTTTGATTTTGATTTCAGGGTTGGTAAGACGTCGTTGATGAATCAGTATCCTTCGAAAATTTTGTTGATAATGGTATTGATCTGAGTTTTGAGCATTTATTTTCGATCCTGGAATTTATGTTTCACTTCCTCTTATTTTGCCATTCATTTCCTAATTGGGTACGCCCCTTGCTTCAGTTCATGTGGAATAATGAGATTAATCATCTTCTGTTGGTGAGAGATCTTTGAATAATTTGTGTTTTCTTTGGTTTTAATTTTATTTGACCATTTGTTTCTATATTCTCCTGGGAATTAGTTCTAACACATAGCTTATTGAGATTTTGATCCGTTGGAAATTGATGTTGAGTTAGCATTACCGTTGAATTGGAATATGGGGCCTTAACTAGCCATTTAGATATGTGCATAAGAAGTTCAGTCAGCAATATAAAGCTACAATTGGTGCTGATTTTGTCACCAAGGAACTTCAAATTGATGACAGGCTTGTCACACTACAAGTACGTTCTACTTCATAAAATCATTGCCTTTCAATATCGTGGAGGTTGTGTTCACTCTGGCATGATTTTGTTGTCATGTTTATGCTAAATCTTAACATTTGCATTGCTAGATATGGGACACGGCCGGACAAGAGAGGTTTCAAAGTCTTGGAGTTGCATTCTATAGAGGGGCAGATTGCTGTGTTCTAGTCTATGATGTTAACGTGATGAAGTCATTCGACACACTTGACAATTGGCATGATGAGTTTCTCAGACAGGTGAATCAATTCTGTTCCTTAAATTTTCTCGATTTTGAGCTTGGTTATTACTGCTCTGTTACTAGGAAGTTTTATTATGGTTTGGGGTTGTTGTTTTAGTTCGATTTTTAAGATCTATATACTTCGTATGGTTTGGGGTTGTTGTTTTAGGTCTTAATTTAAATAGCTAATGTACAACCTTTGCTCCTTCAAGCTTTTTCCAAACACCTTTAGAGGTCTTCGTGTATTATAAACCGTGCTACTACCTTAAGTCGAGGAACAACCACCTCGGAAGCCATTTGTGCCTGGCTTGTAAATATTGTTTTGGCCTTTGAATGAGTGGCATTCTTCATTCTGGTGTGTACCCGTTTCTTTACCTTTGCAAGGCTATACCCTGCCTCTTCATTTTCTTCTTCTCATTGTCAAAGTATGGTTTTAATTGGATTACACTGCAATGCATGGTGTCGCTGAGATAATCATTGATGCTTCTTAGGTTCGTGATGATAGCGTAATTAGATAAAGATTAAAGGACAATGATGTCTGGAAGCAGATTTTTACTCGCAAAAAACACTGAAGGCATATATGATCCATTAGAGAATTAAAAGAAAGATACTAGTACATACATGCGCTCGTAGCTCTCCATGTATGCTTAGGCTGTGCGAGTTTGAGTGTGTTTATTTGTACTGATCTTTTTGTTTATTTGGAGTCTTAATTAGTATTTTGTCTTTCAGGCAAACCCATCTGACCCCAGGACGTTCCCATTCATATTACTCGGAAATAAGATCGACATTGATGGTGGGAATAGTCGAGTGGTAAGCTATAAGGACGTCTGAACCTGTCACTTCTGAGATGTGTATTTTGTTTTTATGTTGATCTGATTATTATTACTGTAGGTCTCTGAGAAGAAAGCTAGGGAATGGTGTGCTTCAAAAGATAATATTCCTTACTTCGAGACATCGGCTAAAGAAGACTACAACGTTGACGCTGCTTTCTTATGCATTGCCAAGACTGCATTAGCCAACGAACACGAACAGGATATGTAAGTTTCTAAAACGTTAATTTTGTCGAAAGGATTTATTGCAATGTTATTAGGATTTTATGAGTTTCTAAAACATAGCATTACCTTGTTTTGTGTACGTATATATATATTTTTTTCTTCTGTTTCTTCATGCATCACTATATTTTTCTTCCATGTGACGTTATCTGAAAGAATCGAGCTAATACAACTGAATTTGGCGTTGTAGTTATTAAATATTCTATTCCATCGATTATTTCCATTTTTTTGCGATTAGAGTTGCAATGAAATCTGTGTTAGTGTTTTATTTTTGGTGGGTGTCCTTCCTTTGCCATACTTTTATGATGTTGCATATTCTATTTTTCATTACAAGACTTTGGACGAGACTGAAAAACACCAACGTCTTACTGATCATGAATGTAATTGCAGATATTTTCAAGGAATCCCCGAAACCATTGTGGAGACCGAGCAAAGGAGTGGCTGTGCATGCTGAATTTAGGAACTGAGAGACTCGGGAGCTCTCGTTCCCGGCCTTTTGGTTCGAATTCTTACACAATTTTTCTGGCATTGTGATTCATAGCTAATCTTTTGATTGCAGACCACCACCCTCTGTTCCATAACCTAACCAGAGAGACTTGAATTTCATGTTATTTTTTTGTTGAAGAAATTAGCTTTCTTTTTGGTTAGGTAAGAACTTCGGGGAACTCTGAGTTTGTAGGATCCATTATTTCAAGGATCCTCACCAATTCAGTGTTCCTGAGTTAATAGTTCCTTTTTTGTTTCTTTCTTGGGGTTGAGAAGAACACAATGGTGATTATCTCATGTTCAGCTCGTTTCTTTGATGTATTTTATTCTTAATTCTCTTGTGGCTTCCTCTCCCATTTGAACTCTTTTTAAGAAACTGAGAAACGGAAATGAATTTGTTGGTTCTTTTTGTCTCTAAAGAGCAAACCAAATATGTCCAGGAAAACATGTCTTGGTGGCTAAATGTTGTAGGAGACATGAGATGGGGGGGGTATAGCCGCACCATGAGGTAAAGCCAAACAAGTCCTACAATCACCTTAAGAGTTCTAAGGCTTGTCATCATACCAGGATTGTCGTATAATTATAAACATTGTTGCCAAATTTTTAGTAGTTTCAAGCAATCCAATAGAGAAATAGATATTCAAATCTAGCCATGAATCATAGAGTTGAGTATCCATGCAACAAGAATAGAGGTGGCTGAGTTGAGTGCAATGGCTGGCATAAACTGTATTCTACTTTCTTCAAACAAGACTACAAAAACAACCAACCAATTGACAGTAAAATGAACATTCTATGGTAACACAAGGCCTTCAAGTTTCAACATGAAAGGGCTGACTTCGCTATCTCTATTATGGGTGCACCAAAAAATGTCCATCACTTCCCCCTGTAATTTTGCATATGATTATATCATTCATGAACTTTTCAAAGAGAAGAATTATACGGTGAAAGAGAGAGCTTCAGGAGCTTACGTGTTCATCATCAGAGTTATGTTATCTCCTTTGAGCAATATCCTCCCTGAAAATGTGGAGGACAAAACAACTTTTTAGTCTGTGTTTAATCACAGAAAGATTTGGATACCGAAGAGGATGAGACAAACCTAAACTCTTCTTGCTCTTCTTCTTCACATTGACCTCCTCGGCATCATCCAAAACCAAATTCATATATTCATCAAAGCCCTACGGAAGTACAACTCATAAGTAGACCCAATTGATAATTATTTCATTTTTGAAAACTTGTCTCGGGTTTTGAAAAACATTTTGGAAAGTAAATAACAAAACAAAAGAAAGTCACCAAATGATTATCAGTCGAGACCTAAATTTTTGCCGAACCTTTTGCCGTGAAGTTACTACTAGCATTCACGGTTTAAAGGCTATGCATCCAAAGGCAGAAAGGAAATGGAGTCTTAGAAGTCAATGGTTGTAGAAATTCTTTTTCGGCAAGACCTATGGCTTAGTACTCTCCTTTGAAGCTTCAATTCCCTCGTTTGCTCAGTATTTCTTCTTCACCACAAGGTTTGGTTTTGGAATTCTAAGATGTTTCAACTCGCTTGTGGAGTCTTGTTTTTAGAAGATTGCTACAGAAAGAGGAAATTAAGGACTGGATGGTACTTTTGAGCTCTCTCCCTGTCCCTGGTTCATGTTGGCTCTTTGGTTGATGCTTAGGGTTTGGTTGATGCTAGGGTTTGGTCACCTGAACCAGGTATTTTCTCATCGAGTCCTTATCTAGGTATTTGAGATCAATGAAGGAGGTATAATTATAGAAAGTAAAAATATTAGACAGATTACACCAAGATATAGCTTGGTAAACAAATATTCTCTAATTTCTTTCTTTCCACCTATTCCAAAAGAAAGCCATGATGAGGTTTTTCCAATAATAGGTCTTTTGCATTCTTGAAAGGGTATCTTTTGCATTCTTGAAAGGGCGATACGTTAAGGCTATATCCAAAAAATCATTATCTCCCTAAGAAATATGAGATGTCATCCGAATATATTGAGAATCTTTATCCAGAAATTCTGAGTGTATGTGCATTGCATAAACAAGTGGTTTTGTGATTCGTTTTCTTTCTTGTATAATGGACACCAATTTGGAGAAAGAGTGATGTAAGACATTCTTTTTTTTTTTTTTTTTAAGATTTTCACTTGTGCTAACGGCTTTAGGTCTATTTCCCAGAGGAAGAACTTCACCTTTTTAGGTTGACATCCTTTCCATTCCGTCTTTGCTAGGGTGGGATTTATTGCTTCTACTTTTTTCCCATGTCCATCATCAAGGATTTTGTAGAAAAGACCCCGTTAGCACTAGGGAGCCAAGTCAATGAGTCTGCTTTGTTTAACAATGCCATAGGGACAGAAAACTTTTTTTTAGGTGTAGAGAGAGTCACGACTTCCAAAACCGCCGTCTTGATGTCGTCGCTGTTGCCTCCCAACAAAGTCGCAACTTTTGGAAGGCGAAGAGTTGCAACTTTTGGAAGACGAAGAGTTGCGACTTCTTGCATCGTGCCGAGGTGGGGAAGACAAGAGTCGCGAGCAACATTCCAAAAGACAAAGAGCCGCAACTTCTGGCGCCATGAATCGCTGGGACTACCGCTCCTCCAACGACAGCCACGACCGTAGAAGACCAAAATGACAGTCGCCCCTCCGATCCCACACCTGCACGGCCCGCAAGCCGCTCCTCCGACTAAAGAAAACCACGACGACAACCGCTCCTCTGACTTCCGACGCTAATAAACGTGTACAGCCGCTTCTCCGACGATGCCTGCACAGCCCACGACAACACCGATAAAAAACCTAGAAATCCATCTCTGAAGATTTCCTCGATTTCTCAAAGAGCATCTGGTTGCTGTTTTTGCTTTGTACCTTCGACAGCAATAATTTTGCATCAACCAGCCAGAATTTCATTTGGACAGTAACCCAACCCATGGCACACACCAAGTACTTCAGAGGATTTTGAATCCATTTGGACAGTAACTTTTGACCCATGACACCATACCAAATACTTAGAGGATTTTGAATCCTAACCTTTGACCCATGGCATACTCAGAGGATTTTGAATCCTAACATTTGACCCATGACATACTTAGAGGATTTTGAATCCTAACATTTGACCTATGGCACTAACCAAATACTTCAGAGATTCAAATCTGTAATTGATAGGAAAACCTATGCAATTGAGTTAGACGACAGACCTGTCCACTAAAATACCAGACCATCAACTAAACTCAAGATCTCAGACTAGAAGACAAAACCACAAACACATCTATCAACCTACACAACCTTTACCTATTACTAAAAAATCGCCACAAATGCCAGAAAATAGAAAGACAGTGTAGAAACATACCTTTCGATTCTAAACAAAAAGACAAAGACGATCAATAACAAGTTTCCCCTCTCCCCCATTCATACTGTATGGGATACGATGGTGATTGTCACACGAAAACATTTTCACGATGACTGGTTTATGATAAACAAGAGCATCCAATTCATGTTCAATGACTTTTGCCGACTAAAACTCCGTAGAGTAGACAAGGCGATTCTCTATTGCAGGTCAAAGGAGCAAGTCTCATTAGGTTGTAAAATAAAAAAGACTAACAAAAAGTTGGAAACTACGTTGGGAAAATAGAACCATAGTCTGGTGGGTGAAAAGCACCTGATTGATCCCGTGGTTCCCTCGATCCCGTGGTTCCCTCACATGAAGGTTGATTAAAATAAAAAATTTGCCTCTCAATCGTTGGGACATTGAAACTTTGAAACACATGGGAGATGCCCGTGGAGGTTTTGTTGAGATGGCTAAAAAAAACCTCATCAAGAATAGACCTTATGGAAGCCACCATTATGAAAGCAAAAGTCTCAATACCATCATCTTCCTCCAAGATTCCCCTTATGGTCATTATATTGACCGAGCCTTCCTTTAATGAAGAACCATTTGTTGATGTTATGATTGGCTACTAGTGCACTAAACAAGCACGGAAAAGATTTTGTACCTCAAAGAATACTGAGTTTATTATAGATATTTCTTGCGGCATTCTTGAACCACACCATTGGTCAAACCACCGAGAAACAACACCTAAAGGGACCTCTCAAGTACAACCAGACTCAACACCAAATTTACACATATCAGAATCTATGGTCATACCACAAAGCCCCAAAAAGGTAAATGACCAATCCCATCCGCCATGGACATCCCCCTACCCTCCAAGCCAACTCCTATAAAAGAAGGTCAATCCCCCAACTAAACCATACTCCTCCACCCCCCCATCTACCATGCCCCATAAACTCAGTCTCCCCACATAAACCAAAGGCCACCAACCCCTCACCCTACTTTCCACCAAAATCTCCAAAACCCCATCCTCTACACCACTTCTTATCCACCAATCTCCAAAACCCCATCCCTACACCACTTCTTATCCACCAATCTCCAAAACCCCATCCTCTACACCACTTCTTATCCCCGACCCCGACCCGCAAGTTGTGACAATATCACCAGAAAATATGTCATCATCATAAATAACCAAAAACTTTCCTCGTCCCAAGAACAAAATACTCCACGATTGGCATTGACCAAGAATTAGATGACGAATATCCATCCAACCCCTTATCCCTCTCCACCGCCCCACCATCCCCCACTGCGGATAAGGCGAACAACTCTCACCCGTTGCTAAAGATCACCCGCATCCGCTTGGCACTCTTTTACAAGAGAAGCAGGATGAAACAGAGGTAGAAGAGGTCACCCCAACATTAGCAACACTCACCAACAAGAGCCATCCAAATCTTGGCACCATGTCTAAAAGAACACCACAGGTGCATCATGGCTATTCCATCTAGGAAAAAGAAGCCCACTATGGCCAAGAAATTGAGTAAACTGAATAGAGAGATTGTTGGTCTCTTTTCAAACATCAATTATGAGAAATCGGGCAAGTCACAATTGGGAGGTCAATACCTCTTATGATTATTCACAAAAGAGAGCTCTAATCAAGTCCTTCCTCCACAAATACAATCTCACTAGGGTTATTCTTCAAGAAACAAAATTGAATTATGTTGATCGCTAGACAGTTAAATCTCTATGGAGTGCCAAACATATTGGTTGGTCATCTTTGGCTTGATCTTAATCATGAGGAATGACCCAACTCTGACCATTTCAGAAGTCACTAAAGGCTTATACACCCTAACCATATTACACTGGCTAATAATTATACAGGAATTTATGGCCCCGGTAGGTTTCAAGAAAGACATCTATCTGGCAGGAATTACAGGACCTATCATGCTTATGTATAGAGAATTGGCGTTTGGCGGGAGATTTCAATACCTCTCGATGGGCACATGAAAAATCCAGTGGAAAAGCCACCAAAAGCATGAGACACTTCAACAATTTCATAAGAGAAATCGAACTCATTGATCTTCCCCTCAATAATGGACTCTATACATGGTCAAACAACAGGTCTCCACCCACCTTGACACTCATCGATAGATTTCTTGCCACAAAAGGCCTCTTTGGAAAATTCAGTAACTTTGGTGTTCAAAGACTGAATAAACCTATCTGATCATTATCTCATTCTACTTTCCATGGGTTGTTGTAAACAAGTGCTTTTCATCAGATCATGGTTCTACTTTCACAACATAGTTTTCAACTTTTTGCTGACCTTTTTTATTACAAACTCAAACTAATGATACTTGCTCCTTTGACATGCAACGGAGAATTGCCTTGTCAACTTTGTAGGGGTTTAGTTGGCAGGAGTCATTGAGCATAGATTAGATGCTCCTGTTTATCGTAAATCAGTCACCGTAAAAATGTTTCTAAATGACAATCACTATCGTAGCCCATACAGTATTAATGGGAGAGAGGGAAAACTCATTGTTGATCGTCTTTGCTTTTTTATTTAGAATTCGAAGCCCATACAGTATTAATGGGGGGAAGGAAAAAACGTTGTTGATCGTCTTTGCTTTTTTATTTAGAATTGGAAGGTATGTTTCTCTTTCTATTTTCTAGCATTTGTGACAACTTTTTAGTAACATGCAAGGGTTGTGTAGGTCGATGGTTATGATTGTGGTGTCTTCTACTCTAGGATCTTGAGTTTAGTTGATGGTATAGTATTTTAGTGGACAGCAAGAAATAGTTTCCAATAAGATCGAAAAAAGCTATCCAACCTATCCGTTCTTCGCCCACTAGGACAAACAATTTGTTTATACCTCCATTTCCATGGTGCAATGAGATTTCAGCAATAATACCCTTCTTGTTTGTGAGTTTTTCTATCCAATGATCTGTTCCGAAAAACGTTTCTCCTTGAATTTTTGGTTTAGTGGAGCCAATGGTAGTGGATGTTTTCAGCCATTGGAAAAAGCCTCATTTCAATGATAGGAAAAAAGTTGCCTCTGTTATTTCTAATAGCTTGATTCTTGTTCCCGTCTAACTCAATTGCATAAGTTTTCGTTTTGAATCTCTGAAGTATTTGGTGCAGTGCCATGGGTCAAAGGTTACTGTCCAAATGGATTCAAAATCCTCTGGAGTATTTGGTGTGGTGCCACGGGTCAGAGGTACTGTCAAATGGATTCAAAATCTTTGTTGGTTATGAAATCATTGCTGGTTGATGCAAAATGAAATCATTGCTGGTTGATGCAAAATCCTTGTTGTCGGAGGTACAATCAAGCAAAAACAGTAACCCAACTACTCTTTGAAAAACCAAGGAGGAAATCTTCCGAGATGGATTTCTAGGCTTTTTATCGGTGGCTGTCGAGGGGGCGACTGTCATCGTGGGCTATACAGGCGTCGGAGGAGGAAGAGCAGTTGTACACGTTTACTGGTGCCGAAAGTCAGAGGAGCAACTGTCGTCATGGTCTTCTTCAATCGGAGGAGTGGCTCGCAGGCTGTGCAAGTGTGGGATCGGAGGGGCGGCCTCATTGTGGTCTTTTATGATCGTGGTTGTCGTCAGAGGAGCGGTAGTCGTAGCGATTCGTGGCGCCGGAAGTCGCAACTCTTCGTCTTTCAGAATGTTGCTCGCGACTCTTCGTCTTCCCCACCTTGGCACGATGCTAGAAGTCACGACTCTTCACCTTCTAAAAGTCGCGACTCTTCACCTTCCAAAAGTCGCGACTGTGTAGGGAGGCAGCGAAGGTGACACCAAGATGGCGGCTTCGAAAGTCGCGACGATACCGAAGACAAATGAAGCCAAAGATTTCTGTCTAGTCTTCTTCTAGTGCCATTTTCTTTTTTACCTAGACTCTTCTTACAGGAACACCGAAGACATGTTGCAGTTAAAGAGATCTTAAGACCTTAATAATCTTTAATTGAAGGATTAAATTTAGTAGGCCACGAATGTCAACCTAATGAATTGGTAAAATTTTAACCTCCATAGTCCTAGCTCAAACATATATTTCTCCAGTAACTTTCTTGCTCTTCCAAATATGTCAAATGACATCCCAGTTCTTCCTACGAAGGAATTTCAAAGCATACTATCTCCAAAGGAAATTCTGGGCCATCAGACATTGCAGAAGCTCCAACAAAGCTTTCTTTCTCCAACCCAAACAACTTACCATACCAATCTTACGTAAGAAGGAAGAACTTTCTTCTTCTAACTTAACTTTACGAAACCCAGAAAACCTTAACTAATCTAATGAAGAAAGACTTATTTTTCGCACTACGACTACTAACCTCCAGGGGCCAACATAGACGTACAACTACGCTAATACAGAAGAAAATAATATAAACTGATTTTCTTTTGCATTTTTTTCTTTCAATGAAAGCTGATTTTGAATTGTGTAATCAAAACAACCAAGGGAAGCACAATTTTATGTGTATCTTCATATATTTTTGCTTTTCTGTCTCTTTTCCTTTACAAAAAGGAAAAAAAAACAATTGTCTTTTCTATACAGTGAAATATTAAATCAACAGAAAACAAGCGAACCTATCCAAATTTTAGAGTCATTTCTCCTCTTCTCAACTACTTTTACTAGTTTCTATTGTTCTTGAGAGTAAATTTGAAGATACACAACCCTTTATACCTCCCAACATTTCACCCCATCAAACAATGAGAGTTGTTACTGTGGCATGACTGATTAATTCAAGCTAACTTAGTATGCTTGATGATTTCAATACCTCCACAGAATGTTTTATATATCAAATGATAACCAATTTCACTAATCTAACTTCCATTTTATCTAGATTGCAACGTTCTTAGTTTACCTTGGTTGGAGAAAAATCTTTAGGAAAAGAAAAAAGATGACGATTCAACATTTGAAACTTAAACCCTAGTAAGCTTTTATAGCATTTAAACGTACATTTTAAAAACAAAAACTATTAATTAGCACGATAGTTTCTCAAAGAAAAGGACCACTTACAATGATTCGGCCTTCGATCCTCAGGTCTTTCTGCTCAAAAAGCCATATCTGAATCCGAGCTTTCTGTATAAATTTCGAGCGTGAAGATTACGTGAATAAAATCAGAGATAGAAAACATCAATTTCACTATGAAAAACTATAAACAAAATGAAGCTGAAAAGGAACTTACACTTTGAAGGAACCTGAAAATCAAGTTCTGAAGGCGCACCAACATCAATTGAAAGAGAAATAAAATGTGTAAGTGAAAGACGCAGAAAAATGATAGAAAATGGAGAATGAAATGAAGAAGAAGGAATTGAGATGAGAAGGTACGATGGGTTGGGTCATAATCCTCTGAACTTTGGTGCTCGCCATGGGGACTGAATCGAAAAGATTTCTGAAGGACGGGGAAAAAGGAAATCGAAGGCCTAACTTCTCCGCTTTCGCTCACAAATTGCAGCTCACAGCTGTGGTATAGATTGAAACTTCTGTTAGGGCAAAGGGAGTTTGGTTCCGGTTTAAGCTAAGCAGCCACTTCACTCCAACGAAGGAAAAGGGTGAAAAGAGGTTTTGGTTTACGGTACATATTCCGTAAAATAAAAAAAAATAATAATAATAATAATATAAATACCCGTTCAATTACCTCGTCTTTAAACTATTTTTTAAAAATACTCATTTTCAAAAAAGAAAAAAAAAATCCTTTTTAAACACGGAAACCAACGAAAAGAGATTTCTCATTCTCAGTTAAAAGAGGATGAGAAAAAGATTATATTTCTGTCTCCGCCCACATTATTGAGACTATTGAGATGGGTTAGCCTATGACCCAAGGAGAGACAAGATCAAACTCACCCTAATTCATGAAGTGCGGTGCTAAGGGCTCGGTCAAACCTTGAAAGGCTGAGCCGTTAAGTTGTAGGCCAAAGATCGATTTGGTTTGCCCTCAACAAGTTGCCCAAGATTGATTCAGTCGACCATTGTGGTGTCAAAATTAGTGCCACTTATTTTAGACAAAATTAGTCAAAGTTGTTAAGTCAGTAAGGAATAGTTTATTTGAGTAGAACGGTTCATTATTTCAGTTGTCCTTGTATTACCATAATAGTTTCATATTTATCCACACCTTTAAGTGTGAGATATTGTGACAGGTGGATCGACCAAAAGTTTAACTCTGACCAAAATATTAACGAATCTCTCGAGAAAACAACTAAGTTAGCTTTCATAAGCTTCAAGGGTCATAAGGAAGAAAAAAAAAGGTCAAGAACAATTAATTAGAGTAAATTCGTTGGGATTCAAGAAATTTCAATGAGCTGAAATAGAAGAGTTACCATTTTATGATCAAGACATCTCCAAAGCTATGTTCTTGAAGATCGTTGAAAAAGTTAAGTACATGCTATAAATATACGATTATAAAGTACACGAGACCGATATTTCAAAGTATCAACAAAAAATGTAGGTAAATATTTCGAACTCTCCACTGATGAAATAACTTATTGATTTTTACCTTTGTTTTTTTAAGGGTGAAAATTGCGTTCGCTAAGGCCCGTTTTTTAATAATTATTTATTATATTTTTCAATTATTTTCGTCATTTGCATGTTTTTGTTTGAACTTATTTTTTAAGTAGAAAAAATCATCATTCTCAAATTTGGTCTAGGGAATGTTGTGTCTTGTTTGTTTTTTTTTTATTTTTTTTTATTTTAATGAAATCATTTGTTTCTTTAATTTCTTCTATATCAAAAATTAAGTACATGCTATAATCATTTGTTTCTTTAATCCCATCCAGACCAAACACATAAATATAAAAGGGTACTTGTAAAATGTAAATATACTAAAAAGATAATTAATGTAACTTGTTAAATATAAGTTATCGAGTAAATTAATTACTCACAAAAATTAATTTTATTTTAAGATAGACAATATAAAGTGTGATCGAGACAATGGTGTAGATGAGCCAGTGTAACGACCCTAAATTTCATACTTAACCTAAGGGCCAACACATTTATTGCGGAATTAACTCTATTTATTTCTTTTATCAAAAACTCAACATTAAACTTTGTTTGATTCATTTATTACCTTAGAATAAAATTGATACAAAGAAGATAAATACACGAAAACAATACAAAATGAAACGCCCTATACTATAATCTATATACTACTAAATGAAAATACAATTCAACCTATACTGCTAAAAAAAAATTAAATGTGAATCTATTCTATGCATGTACCATAGTCTCGAGATTTCGATGCCTTTGTTAGTCTTACAGGGGCGTCTTGCCTTTATTTGAAAAATATAGTATCACGAGGCTTGAGTATTTAAAAATACTTAATAAGCAACCCCTTATGGGGTTATAATGCAAGAACATACTAATGTGTGGATGAGACCTATCATAACAGTTTATTTTCCTATGGCAGCTACCCTAACGGGGCAACTTGGATGTGTAATTAATTTCCTACACACGACCCACACGTGCGAGTATGGACCCACCAGTGGGTTCGCACATCTTTTTGGCTCCTTTCTGGTCGGTCGAGCATACTCTAAGAGCTCTTGATGCCAGACGCCCGTTAGAAGTAGCGATCGTCATGACAGCATTATGTCAAACATAATAATCATTCTCCTGCCTAGTAGTGTAAGCGCCCGTACTATCATGAAAGAACAGGGGTATCCCCCAATGCATGCATGAGCACGCAATAATACATAATCCCTAAATCTTTCCATTTTAATTATTCTTAATACAACCTCATTAACGTATATTTCATATCATAACATTTTCATGTCATTTCTCATAATGTCTAACATATCATTTATCGTTGTCTTTCATGCATATGTCGAGGTTATATTTCATGCTATTTGTCGTTTTTCATGTCAATCATATCATACCATTTACGCAACTTACAAGACATAACATAACGTTTTCATACTTTCAAACACAACAATTCACATTGTGCATATAACACAATATATATCATAACAATCACATAATGCACTCCGAGCACATCATAACACATAGCATCATAAAACATAACAATTCATCCAAAAACAGCACAGAAATCACATCGCATAACATTTACGTACTATTTCATAACAGTCTAAATATACAGTTTATGACGCGTGCAAAAACCACGAGCATGTAACCTAACGACAGTACGGTCATTTACTTGGTTGGCCTCATCCGGCATTCTCCCCAATACAATTTATGTAAGCTCCCGTCCTCGAAAGCGTCCCAAGTCATCGCGTTGGAATTTGGACAAAAAAATGGGTTTTCGAGCGGGAGCCACAGAGCGAAGCCAATTGGAGTGTGTTGCACAGCAGGTGTGCCACATGGCACAACATGAGGGCACCACATGTGTAGGTCCTTTCGGGTCGAGGTACGGGTGGTGCGTGGGTTACAATCTGACCACGGGTGAATTGCAGGGATTTGGGCGAGCGGAGGTGTTAATTTAAAATCAAAACGCATTCCCTTGCTTTGCTTTGCTTTTTGTTATGATTAACATTTTCTTTCAAGTAAAATTTAAAATTGGTTCCATTGACTTTTCTCAAAAAAATAGTATTCCATTGACTTTTCTTCAATAAAATTTGAAATATGTTTGATTATGAAATTATTATTATTATTGACTATTTTTTTTATATAAAAATTAATTTTAAAATAATATGACGAATTAATTCTAAAATTTATGTTTATGGAATGAAAAAAAGAAAATTAAATATTTGTATGTAAATCGGCGAAAATAGAATAAAACCTAAATTATATTAAATTTTTTTAAACCCAATTATTTAATTTCATATACTGACATGTCAGCGTAGATCTCATCACGCGATTGGGTTTTTCGCGTTCTGGCAAGTATCTTTTTCCTTCTGGATTCTCGATCCACTTCCTTTTGATCGTGTTCTTGGCCTTCGATTTGTGATTCTTTTGGTTTCTGGATTTTGTTTTCTGGTTCGTCTTTTCCTTCCTTTGATTAATGGTTTTTGTGTATTTGGTTTGACGGTTTGACGACGGTCGGAGATTGATCGTTCTGTTGAGGAATAGATAGGGTTTTGTTTGTCTGCTGGATTGTTGTCTTGTTGCCTGTTTCCTTTATCTTGTTTAGGGTTGTTTTTCGTTGCGGGATGCGTTTTCTTTCTCCAACGGTAGAGATTTTTTTGCACCCAAAGGAATCCGTTCTCACGATCAATTTTCTTGAAAAAGTTAGGAAAACAAGGTTAATAGTCAATGTTGTCTGGTACCTATCGGACTAATCTTGGTTTTGAAGACACTGAACTCTAGGGAGTGATGTTTCTCTGTGATCTTGAACTTTGCCCTGTGGACTGGCCACCTACTTAGGATTCGCTATTCTACAAGGTGTGCACAGGCTGACCCAAATTAAATTTGTATCGATTGATTATTAGGGCATACAGATTTTAAAAGTCCAATCTGTTTTCTCTGCGATTGAGAATGAAATTAAGTTGATTTGAGGGTGTGAGAGTTCTGTTTTTCTTTCATTCAGTTAACTGCGGACAAATATTGATTTCTGGAATTCATTGTGTTAATTTTTATTAATTGCAGTTGAATATGCCATCGGCTCAAGATCCGTTCTATGTTGTAAAAGACGAGATTCAAGAATCTGTAAGTTTGTTGCTTGCTGATAGTTATGATTGTCTATAGTGCTTGAATTATGCTCGCATTGTCATTTACATTAAGCTTCTTGAAACTATGTATTTGTTTATCTGCAATATTTAATTGGTTGTTTAAAGATAAAGAATGTGAATTAGAACAGAAAAACTGGAGAGTGGAAATAGCGAGACAAACTTGTGACTATGTTTGCTTGCTGCAAAAAGAACCCTCATCAACATACGAGACATGATGAAAGTTGTTACACGAATATATGAAATATAAATCTAACTAGATCTCGGATGTCCAGACAATGTGGAGATAGAATGCACGTTAAATCACAACTCCCAAGATGAACATTTAGCAACTATCAGTGATTGAAATTTTCTGTGAAAGAATAAATATGGATGTAAATTCATCCTTTTTCTTCATAAGTTGACATCTTTCCGATCTTATTGAGATTTTTCTTTATCTCTAAAAATCTACCTTGTCCTTTGTATTTGTCTCTCATATTCTGTGAGATGGTAGCCACAGGCCAATATACAACCTTCCATTTGAAAAGTTCATCTTCAAATTATGAACAGTTAAGTTAAACATGGCATCTCAATACCATATTGGATGTTCGTTAATTGTTCAAAGAGGCTTATGAGGATGGTGTTTATATGATGGGTGTTGATGATACCGTGGGTTTTTTGGAGAGGGAAGTAGCTTTCTCTGATCCTTTCTTTCACTGTAAACTCGGTCTCACTCCTGAACCTATTGATTGATTCTTGATCCTTCCCCTTTTCCGATATTCCCTTCTTTCATGGTAAAGTGGCTGGCTTCGCTACTGATCTTTCTCTTTTCTTTCCTGAACCTTCCGAAATAGGTGTTTGTTTTTGGTTCTTTCTCCTGAACTGTTCTTTCTCCTATGATTTTTGAACCTATTCTGTAACCTCTGTCTCGAATCTTTTCTTTCCTCTCCTCTTCTCGTCTCACAATTCCATTGCTTGAACCTCGTAAACTCGTTAAAGCAATTCCATTGCCTGAACCTTTATTTATTTCATTGCTTCACTCCTCTCCCTATTTTTTCCTTCATTTAACTCTTACTCGACAGTAAGAAAAGAAGAAGAAACCTCAATCCTGAACCTCTACAACTCGGTCTCACGGCTTCGCCCCTTTACAGTTTAAGAGTCAATAGGGGAAGGAGAAGAGAAAGACTCAATTAAGAGTTTACGAGGGGAAGGAGTTCAAGCAAGCAAAAAGAAAGGGGAAGGAGTTTACTGTGAAATCCGGGAAGGTCATATCGGTGAAGGGGAAGGAGTTCAAGCAAGCAAGCCAGCCAGTTCTGTCTCATGAATACCTTTTCTTTCTTTTACCGACTGTAAAGTGAGGAGGGATAGGGAATAGAGGTGAAGGTGAATGAGCTGATCTTTCTGTTCACTCTCATGAATCTTTAGTCCTTCCTGAATGTGAAGGATCTAGAATAAAAGGAGTTCAAGCAAGCAAGAAAGGAGAAGAGAAAGAATAAATAGGGGAAGGAGTTAAGGAAATGGAATTGCTTTACCGAGTTGTAGAGAGAGGGGCAGGGGCGAAGCCACTTTACTGAGTTTACGAAGTTCAGGGTTTCGGTTGATTCTTCTTCTCATCCAGCAGCTTACCTATTTCCTTGTTCAAGAGTGAAATCAGTCTCTTCCATCCTTCATGCCGAGTTTACCGTGTTTGAAAGTTCAGGAGAAAGAACCAAGCCAAGCTGTTTAGAGCGAAGGAGCTTTACCCGATTCTCATCCAGCCTATTAAATTACCTCTACTCAAAAATAGCCCAAAAAATAAGGGAAAACGTCAATAAATTCATCAAAGGTCCTTACAGTCTCTAGAATGTTTCATTTGAGTAGTTAAGGAGGAGAAGTTAAGTAAAGGTTCTTCAATCAATTCATTCTTGAACTGTAAAGGAGAAGGAATGTTTCGTGCTGATGATACCGTGGGTTTTTTGGAGAGTGAAGTGGGGAAGGAGTTCAAGCAAGCAAGCCAGCCAGTTCTGTCTCATGAATCTCTTTTCTTTCTTTTACCGACTGTAAAGTGAGGAGGGTTAGAGAATAGAGGTGAAGGTGAATGAGCTGATCTTTCTGTTCACTCTCATGAATCTTTAGTCCTTCCTGACTGTGAAGGATCTAGAATAAAAGGAGTTCAAGCAAGCAAGAAAGGAGAAGAGAAAGAATGAATAGGGGAAGGAGTTAAGGAAATGGAATTGCTTTATCGAGTTGTAGAGAGAGGGGCAGGGGCGAAGCCACTTTACTGAGTTTACGAGGTTCAGGGTTTTGGTTGATTCTTTTTCTCATCTAGCAGCTTACCTATTTCCTTGTTCAAGAGTGAAATCAGTCTCTTCCATCCTTCATGCCGAGTTTACCATGTTTGAAGGTTCAGGAGAAAGAACCAAGCCAAGCTGTTTAGAGCCGAAGGAGCTTTACCTGATTCTCATCCAGCCTATTAAATTACCTCTACTCAAAAATAGCCCAAAAAATAAGGGAAAACGTCAATAAATTCATTAAAGGTCCTTACCGTCTCTAGAATGTTTCATTTGAGTAGTTAAGGAGGAGAAGTTAAGTAAAGGTTCTTCAATCAATTCATTCTTGAACTGTAAAGGAGAAGGAATGTTTCGTGCTGATGATACCTGGGTTTTTTGGAGAGTGAAGTGGGGAAGGCACCTGGACAGTTAAACATGACATCTCAATTCCATATTGGATGTTCGTTAATTGTTCAAAGAGGCTTATGAGGATTGTGTTTATATGATGGGTGTTGATGATACCGTGGGTTTTTTGGAGAGTGAAGTGGGGAAGGCACCTGGACAGTTAAACATGACATCTCAATACCATATTGGATGATCGTTAATTGTTCAAAGAGGCTTATGAGGATGGTGCTAATATGATGGGTGTTGATGATACCGTGGGTTTTTTGGAGAGTGAAGTGGGGAAGGCACCTGGACAGTTTGAGTGGGTCAAAGGGAGGGCTACCCTTCTGATCCTTGAAGTGTTAGTTATTCTGAAGATGAATACTTTTTATCTTCTCCAATGTTGAAGGATCAAGACTTCCCTAGTTGGGTTTAATGTTTGAAGTGGGAGGGAATAAGAAGATTGATGATAGTGTAGTTTCCCTGAGCAAATTCTATCTATTAGTTTAATGCCCCATGATATTCGTGAAGTTAATTAGGAGGTGTTAATGTAGAGGAATAGTGAAAGCTTGTCTTTGGAAGGGCATGGATGCAGAGGAGTAGTGAAAGCTTGTCTTTGGATGGGCACAAATGTAGAGGAGTAGTGAAAGCTTGTCTTTGGAAGGGCACAACAGGGTGTGCTTGATCCCAACAGTCCCTCTCTAACTGTTCCTTGGGGTTAGCTTTGAAGTCTCATCCAATTAGGCATGTTTTCCTTCGTCTGCATTTTGTCCTAAGTGTTGAAACCTTGTCTTTGGAAGGTCACAACCAGGTGTGCTTGATCCCAAAAGTTCCTTACCAATTGCTCCTTGGGGTTAGTTTGAAGCCTCAGATAATCAGTACATTTTCCTTTAGAGTTTTTGCCTTACACATCTAATGTGAGAGAGAGGAAGGTGGCTGGATCTGGGCCTTTTTCTCCTTACTTGCCATTGGGGTAGGAATCAGTTTGGATGTCTTTCTCATCCATTTCCTCCTCACTTCCTTAATCCTTTCCCTATTTATAGTTTTATTGTGCCTCATCAAGTCGTTACTTAATTGTGAGAGAGGTTTGTTTCTATTTTCTTTGCCTTGTGTTTAGCTTCTTTGGCTTGTGTTGAGGATAGACGATGATTAGTGGAGGGAGTTCATTTGGTAGCCTTAGAGGGTGTTATGAGAGATCCTTTTTATTGTGTTTAACCAACTAGGTATTCTCGATGTGTCATTAATTTCATTGGTTGTTGATGTGTGCCCTTTTAGCTTCAGTTGGCATGCATGTGCTATCCATAGAGGGTCCTTTGTTGGGTGGCAAGGTTCCTCTCCTAATTTAGGTTTGTAGGTAAAGATGAAGTAGGAGGAAGCAAAAGGGGGATAGAGGGTTTGGCAGTTAAAAAATTTGGGGCGTTCCCTAAATTAGAAGGGAATAAAGCTAGTTCTTTGAAGTTTTAAACTGAAGGTGATCTCTTGGAACATTAGAGGGTTTAGGGAAGGTATAAAAAAAGATTGGTTAGGGAGTTTATTACTAAGGAGAATCCAATCATTGTTGTTTTGATGGAAACCAAGTATATGAGCTTTTGTCAGGAGTTGGTGAGGAGTCTTTAGGGAAGAAGGTAGGATGGGGTTATTTGGCGACCTTGGGTGCCTCTAGGGGTATTGTTATGATGTGGGATGGTAGTGTTGTTAAACCTCTTTGAGGTGGAGGGTGGGTGACGGCAGTGTATGGCCCTTTGAGATAGAGGGCTAGGAAGGAATTTCAGGAAGAGGTGGGTTGGCTCTTTGGCTTGTGTGGGGTGTTTGGTAGGGGACTTTAACGTTTTTGATTTCCTCCAGCGAAGGTGTTAAGGAGGAAGAATGACCAGGTCTGTGAGACATTTTAATGTTTTATTGAGGATTGCCTTTTGTTTCCATCCACCCTTAGTTAATGGGAATTTTACTTGATCCAACCGCTTGCTTGAAGTTGGATTGGTATGTTCTCGTCATTTAAAGAGCGGATAGATGCTTTTCTTAATGCGAGGTGTCACAATCACACTCTTGTGGCAGTGGGACAATGATTGTGCGACACTCGTTCTAACCTGTCGAACAAGTTAGTTGTATGTAAATCGTAAGTTGCGGAAGATTCAAATGTATGACTGAACCTTGGTCACATTCTGAGAAAGCATTTTAGAAAACGTGAGTGAGGAAATGTGTTGAAAACAATTTGTAAGAATTGTAAGTGGAGTTCTTATTTTAAACTCTCCCAAGTGTCCATGATACATTGGCCATATTGAATGTGGGTACTTGGATCTCCCCCACAACTTTGCATCATTAGGTAGATGCATTATGGCCAACATGACCTTCGCCTCTTCTGCCACAGTATTTGTGGCTTGAAAGTATTGTTCGAAGTCTAAGATAAAATTCTCTAAACCTTAGTGTCTCGAGCTCCACATAAGTGCTTAGGCTTTGAGACCTTCACTTTGTTAAACTAGCCGCACCCCAAGTTGGAGTTTGGTTCCCTACCGCTTTCATAGTGAGGTTTAACTTGGCGCTCAAATCTGCCACTTCAGCCTTGACTATTCCAAGGGAATCTCAAATCCTCAGACATTTTTGAGATAATCTGAATGATCGCTTGTTGGGCATGCATTGTCTAGGCCCTCGATACATTCTTCCATTTGGGCGATAAGAGCATGTCGATCTATTCCCACGCTTGAAGTCATCGGTAGTTGTGACTTTGTCTTTTAAGGCCTTGACCCTAACCATTAATTCATGGACTGACATCGCCTCAAGGCGGCTTGCCATTTCATTGATCCTGTTTACTTTAGCGGCACTCTTGTTCATGTGGGACTCCAAAAGCCTCATTCCATTAAGAACTTCACTAATGTAGAGCAAGTGATCTTCAATCTCTACCAATCGGTTAGCTTGGGACTTACCCAATTGTTTTGCAGTGGACATGTTTCATTACTAGGAGCGAACTTGGCTCGGATACCACTTGTCTCAATCGCACTCTTGTGACAGCGGGACATCGATTAAACGACACTTGTTTCAACCTGACAAACAAGTTAGTTGTATGAAAATCATAAGTCGTGGATAACCGTATGATCGAACCTTGGTCATGTTTGAGAGAAAGCATTTTAGAAAACATGAGCGAGAAATGTGTTGAAAACAATTTGTAAGAAAGCAATGTTATAGGCTAAAAACAAATAAGCAACAACCACGACTTTTATAGCATATAACCTAGGTAGAAAGAATTGACGATTAGTCACATCCCTTATAATAAATATTGGGCATTTTAACTTTGGCGGGTGTAGACATGATTTTGGTGAACAATCATGCACCCCCGTATTGTCACGATAGGAATAATAGAAACCTAACTATACATGAAAACAAGTAAGAGGGGTTTGGAATGGGCATGTGGTCATGGACAACACATCATGGACAAACATGACCGAGACATCCGACATGCGGCCACAAGCAACATACATGGGACAAACATGATCGTCACATGAGGCATGTTTTGGGGCTTAAAGTTGCTTTGGACCATTGGTGGCATTGTTTGGACTCAGGTCTTTGAGTTAGGCCCCATATCCTTTCAGGTTTGGGAATATGTGGGTTGTCTCACCCTTACTTTACAACCTCATTCTCGTGGTGTTGTTAGGTTGAGGCTCTAGAAGGAAGCTGTGCGCACTCAAAGGGGGGTGTTGAAGTCTAGGAGTAGAGACATTTTTGGGGATGAGGGTCAAGAAGGAAGATGTAGTGTTAATGATACTCTTATGGAAGGGCTTTCTTTCTTTCTTCTTTTTTTTTTTTTTTTTTTTTTTTTTTTTTTTTTTTTTTTTGTTTTA